TGGTTTCTTAGGTCTGAATAAAATGCCCCCAAGTAATGGGCCAGGGATGGAGTGGAAGAATTGCCTTTTTGGCAGCAGGAGCATTAAGGAAGGGTACAGGGCAGGAGGGACCTCCAACACTGCGATGCTGGAGACTGGAGTGACCTCTATGGTGGGCCTGACTTGGGGAAATGAAGGTTGCCACAGCTCCCTGCCATGGTGGTTTGGGACTTAGAGGGCTGATCTCCTGTGGATTTGGCATCTGATGGGGCCATGCATAAATCATGAAATCACAGAATGGTTTGGATTGGAGGACACCTTAAAGATCATCTCATTCCACCCCCCTGCCATGGGCAGGGACACCTTCCTCTATCCCAGGTTGCTCCAAGCCCTGTCCAGCCTGGCCTTGGACATTTCCAGGGATGGGACAGCCACAGCTTCTCTGGGCAACCTGTGCCAGAGCCTCAACTCCTTCACAATAAAGAATTTCTTCTTAATATTTAATCTGAAGGAAAGCAGTGCATTTGAAGTCAAAAGGAGCCCCTGCCTCTCCAGCACAGATGGGCCATTCAAATGTTGTTTTCCCTGGCAGAGATGTTGTTCAAGGCAACTGAGATTCCAAGAAGGAAACCTCTGTCCCCACCTTTGGCTGAGGGAACTGTGCACCAGTCCTTTCCTCCCAGTGCTTCAGAGCCCCAAATCCCCACCCAAATTTATGGATGAACATCAACCCCCATCAGCATTTAACTCTTAGCCAAGTTTCCCCCCAAAAACAAGCATCCCACTCCTGCCCTTTTGTATCCCAGCAAACTCCAGGCAAGCAGACAATGCAGGGGAATTTGGGGAAGGAGCCATGAGAAGAATTTGGGAGCATCCTGTGAATGGTGAAGACTGGGATGTGATGGGGACCCCTGGGCTTTGTCTGCAGCCTCATTTTTGCTGTTCCAATCTGTGCTGTGACACTGAGCAGGACTCTTCTGCAGACCTCCAGGCCAGGTGTCAGCTCCCTTCCCTTTGAAGGCTCGCCTGGGAATGTGAATTTTCTCCAAGGGGAGGAGGCGAGCTGGTTCCAGAGACAGCCTGTCATCCATCTTGAGGAAAATACTCCTCTCTCTTTGCACCTCTCCTAGAAAGGTGGAGACCCGCATTCCACAAGCCTTGGATCAGGCCCGGAGAAAAGCTTTGAGTCATTTGTTTACCAGCACAGGTTTTCCTGGAGCTAATTAATGAGCCAAGCTGATACCCTGCAACAGGTATCGATGACAGAGGATTTCCTGCCTGCTACACTTGAGCAACGGGAGAGGGTGAAGCTGGATCTGTGAGCACAGTGCTTCCTTCCCCTTCTCCCTCCCCCCTCCCCAAAAAAAACCTGGGAAAGAAAATCCACCTGCAGCCAGACGGGCGCTGCGGGAAGCCCCTCGAGGATCGGGCACCATCCCTGCTGGACGATGCCACGGGTGGATTCCCGGGAGCAAAGTGCTCGGGCATCCCTTTCTCCCACCTGCAGGGAGCGAGGGATGGTGTGGAGACCTCCAGCAAGCCCTTGGAGCTGGGGGCTGCCTCCGTGTCCCCCCCAGTTCTGGGCATGGGAGTACCAGAGCTGCGCGCAGCAGCGCTTCCACTCCCGAGGAGAGCCGGCGGAAGGCTCTGCTTTCACAAGGATACTGAAACTGGGGAGAAGAGGGGAGGAGGGGGGATAAAACCTGCGGGAGAGCGTGGTAAAAACAACATGGGGAAGGGGGCGAAGCAAAAACTCAGCGGAAGGAGATGCTGGAGAGTGGGAAATAAACCCCATGGGTTTCGCTTTTCGGGCGCGGGGTGGGAGCCAGCGCTTCTTGCGAGCCCCAGCTGTGCGGATGTTTTTTTTTTTTTCTTTTTTTTTGGGGGGTGCTGGCGGAGGGGAGGATAGGGAGAGCAGCGCTCCTCGGGCTGTGCCGAGCATCCGAGCGCTCCGGGGGTGGCGAGCGGCGATAGCCGGGCGGCGAGCGCCACCTCCCCGCCGCTCACCGCAAGCCTCGCCGCCCCTGGCACCCCCCCGCTGCCTCCTTGGGGATGGGGGAGGCTGGGGGGGAGCCCTGACATTAGGTGGAGATGCCCGACGCCTTTTCCCAACCTCTCCCCCGCGGGGTTGCAGCGGGTATGGTCCCGATGCTGTGAGAAGGATGGAGTGGGGATGTGTGTTGGCGGGGGGTTCGCTAAGTTTGGGGTGGATGTAAAAGGGGTTTGTGGGGTGCTGTAAGGCAGGGAAGGGTCGTGGGGGTTTCCCAGAGCACCTCTGGGTGCCTGCGGGGCACAGGGCGATGCAGGGCTCGCCGGGGTGGCAGAGGATGGGATGCGGGGTGCTCACCCAGCCGGGGTGGTTGCCTTTGGCTGCTCCTTGGGGTGTGATGGGGGTTCAGGATCTCCCCCTGGCTCCCCCGCACACACACAGGCAGTTCCCATCCCGGCTATGGGGTCTGGCACGCCGTCCCTGCCTCGTTTTCCCTCACGTTAGGAGAAGGGGCTACAGTCATTAATAGAAATCCCCTCCGCTTGGCAGCCGGTCCTTCCCTGAGCCTGTCCACCTTCATTGGCCAATTCCGCGGGCTCCAAGCCCTTCTCCCTGCACCCAGGGCTCTGCAACACCACCTCAAGTGTTATGAAAAGGGTCGGGAGCCCTGCTCCTGCCCTGACTGTGCCTTGTGCCAGCTCCTCTTCCTTTTCGCCCTCCGCAGCAGGAGCGATGCTGCACCCTGACCCCTCTGTAACACCCAGAGCGGGGTGTGGGGGTCCCCTGGGTTTTCCAAACCCCTGTGCCCCTCTGAGACCCATCAGGCAGGATGTCCTGTCTGCTCAGCCCCCTCCTCTGGCCCCTGCCTGGCTCAGCCCCGTGGCCACCCCGTCCCCTGGCAGTGCGGCTTGGCTGAGCTGGTGCAATTCCTCAGCACCCTCCAAGGGTAAAAACGTCCCCGGCTCTGCCCTGCCACCTCCTTCCACTTCCTCAGCGAGGTCTTGGGCACAGGAAGGACTGTGGGACCCAGGTTAATGAGTCATTAATTAATTAGGGACCCACTTAATATGCATGGGGAGTTGTTTGTTTCCTTTAGCAGCCCGGACTTTGGATGAGATCCCAGCCTTGCGAAGCCTCCAGCCTCGTCTCCTAGCTGATAATAGATAATACAGATATTTTAGCACCAGCCAAAGCAGAGTCATCATCATTAATACAGAGCCCTCCCTGCTACACCGCGGAGGTCACCAGGCAACTCCTCGGAGTGTCGGGGGCTCAGCCCTCCTGGCTTTCCGCAGGCTCTGCCTGGCCAGGTGAGAGGAAACCTATAGGTGATCAACAGGTAACGGGGCTGGGGAGGTGCACCCTGCACCCCGAGCACCCCTGGCTCCCTCCCAGGGAGGCTTTCGAGGCGCTGCGATTTTCGCTCTGCCGCGCACGCAGGTTTGGGCATCTGTCAAAGTAGCTCCGCTCTTCTTCAGCCCCCTTCCTCCCCTCCTCCTCTTCCTCCTCCCTCGGCCATCAGCTGTCACCTGGCCCTGGCAACTCGGCAGACACAGTGCTGGAGCTGGGTTGAGCCTGAGCCTCGGAAAGCCCCAGCTCCGAAGGGATGGGGCGGTCAGGGATGGAAGCGGGGTGTCTTTTTGCCCTCCATCCCTTTGACCTTGCCTTGGTGCTCCCCTCCCTCCCCACTCCTCTCTGTGCCGCTGATTCACAGGGGTTGTTTGCTTGGCCAGGGCAGGATCGGGGACACGAGCGTGAGTCACAGCCGAAGGTACCTGGCAGAGTTCATCTGCAACCCGTGCCTTCGACTCGGGAACCGGTGCCTGCTCTCAGCCAGGACTGAGAAGTCCCTTTGAAACCCCTACCTGATCCCCCTCGATCCCTCTTTTCCTCTTTTCCTCGCAGCCTTGGCAGAGCCATGGCTGAAACACCTCTCTGTGAAAGTCTGAAGATGCATCAACAGCCACCCTCCATCAGCGAATGTCAGGCCGTGAAAGGCAAGGGGGCGGTGGGGGAAGAGGGAGAGACAAATTTTGCGGTTCATTCCCACACAGGGTGATTCAGAACAAGATGCTTTGTAATTACGCATCCCTGATGGAGACTCCTTCTCTCTCCACCCGCGCCCCCCCCTCCCAAAGAAAGGCTAAGCCGTGCCTGGGTGCCAGCATCCCCCAGGAGCACAGCGCCGGGAGCAGCGTGTGTGTCTGTGTGTCTGTGCCACGCTCGGAGCTCTACAGAGGCTAAAGGTTAATTTTCTCCCCCAGTGTGAAGCGAAGTGCTGAGAAATGGCATTTTGGGGGGCTACATGAGGAGCTGATCCCTCCCCAGCCGGAGCCTCCAGCCCTGGGTAGGTGCCGCACAAGCAGCGAAGCAAGCGAGGACCCCCCCACCCCGAGAGCTCTCCGAGGAAAAGGGGAAGGCAGGGAGCTGTGGTGAGGGCAGATTCATGCCCGGGGCACTCAGCTGCCTGTCCTTCCGAGACTTTGCCAACATTGCGGGATGAGGAGTCCCGGACCCCAGGGCTGCCCGCGAAGGCGCCGCGGCTTCGCAGCACTTCGCAGCTCAGCCCCGGCTGGCTCTGCAGCTCTCCTGTCGCGATCCCCCGCTCCTCTTCCCTCGCCTGGCTGCCTTCTCCCCCCACCCCAGACAACCCAGTGCCCACCTCCCTTCCCCGGGACACGTCTGCATTTCCCCCTTCGAATCCTGCATCCTGCAGACATTCAATATTTTCCACCAGTGCTTGGTGTTTGCCCACAGGACCTGCATGCACAAAAGTTAAAACTTCCCGTGTCAGGGAATGATTACGCTCTATCAGTCCAAATTGCGGAGTGGAAGGGACGAAAACATCCTCCGGGTGCTGTTTCCAGGGGCAAAAGGAGAGGAGCGGGTGCCCACCGCTGCCCCCATCGCCGTCTCCCCTGGGGATGGAGACAGACCCCCCTGCGCTCCAGGCAAAGCGCAGCCGGAGAAGTCGCGTTCTCCCTCTCCCTCCCCTCCGTGGAAGAAGGAAGGGTGGCCCGGAGCCCCTTACCTTGCCGAGCTCCCCAGGTTTTATATCCTCCTTCTTCCCTTCGTCAAATTCCAAATGGAAACCAGCAACATATCCAGGGGTAACCAGCCCAACATTGGGCAGCGCGTGAAGTCCAAAAGGATGGCAGAGCTCTCCCCCTCCGCTTCCTCCACTCTTGCCTCTACATATATATATACATACACATTTATATATATATATATATATATGTATTAAATGGAAAAGAGGAAAAAATCCTAAAAGAAATGGGGGTGGGGAGGGACAGGAAGGGAGAACCTTTGGTGTCTCTGCAGATAGGCAGGTAGAAGAGAAAAGCTGAAAATAATTAAGCCGTTTTTTGAGAAATCCTTAGGAGAGGGGAAAAACGCAGTTGAAAGCCAGTAAATCATTAGATCCAAGCAGACAATCAAGTCTTCTCCTTTGGAAAAAAAAAAAATATTACAGCAGGGTTCAGAGTAGCTTTCCCAGCAGCGAGGAGCAAGAATGGTCTTCTTCAGGAAGATATGTTTGTTTAAAATCCACTCGTCTGCTTTTCCTTCTTTCTCTCTCTTCTCCCCCAACACTTTTTAATTTTTTTTTTTTTTAATTCTGCTTCTGAATCTCTCTCTCTGAAACTAGATCCAGTCTTTGTAGCCAGGGGCTGCATTAAGGATTACATCAGGCTTTTATAAGCTTTCCAGATCACACATTAGAGTGAGAGAGAGAGAGAGAGAGAGAGAGAGAGAGAGAGAGGGAGGGAGGGAGGGAGGGATAGGAGGGAGGGATGAAATGCACACACACATACACACGCACACGCACGGATCGGAGCTTTGTAAAACAGGCAGCTATAGGCGAGGACCCGAACTGACACGGTATCGCATCGGGCATGCTCCGCTAGCCTCCAGCAGGAGAGGATGGATGGATGGATGGATGGATGGATGAATGGATGGATGGATGGATGGATGGATGGATGGATGGATGGATGGATGGAACAGAGAAGCCAGCGACAGCCGGAGCGCGCTGGCGGCTCAGCAGCGCAGCCTCCTCGGGACAGCTTAGCCCTAAGCGGGGAGCCAGGAGGTGAAGAGGGAGCCGGGATGGTGGTGGTGAGGATGGCGAGGCTTCTGCTTACCCCCCTCCTCTCCCCGCCCCGCTCCCCCAAAAACCTGCGGAGGCTCAGCACGGAGAGCTGCCGCTCGCCCGCAGAGGGATGCGCAGAGACGCTGGTGCCGCTGCCAGGGTACCGGGAAGGAGAGGGGGGTGCTGGGGCTCTCTCATTGCGCCCCCCGGAGCCTCCCCCGGAGCTGACAGCCTGGGGAGGGGAACGGGACACTGGGCAGGGCGGCGGGGAGCAGCGGGGCAGCGGCTCCTCAGCCCCTCAGCCGCGGGGAGGGAGGGCGGGGATGGGGGGACCTCCCCCAGCACCCCGGCTCGGCCGTGCCTCTGCACCAGGGCGCACGGTTTGCCCAGGAAAAGACGGAGACAGCCGTTAACCCTTTCCTCATTGTTTAAATTTTACCTCTTTCCTAGCATCCTTCTCAACTCCTCGCTCCATTAACCCAAAATTTGGGTGGGAGTTGGGGGTATCACATCCAGGCATCACCCCGGGGTAGCAGGAGGCTGGGGAGGGGGGAAGGGAAAGTTTGAGCAGATGGAGGAGGAGGAAATGGGCTGGGGTGAAAGGTCTGTGCTACATCCCGGCAGATTTGGGTAAAGGTGCTGCCTCCAGGTTTGCAGCCTGAGGAAGGTCCTCCGGCAATGAGAAGCTTGCAGAGCAGAGAAGGGGGGGGGGAGGGGGGTGGGATGGGGAAGGGGTTGGAAGGGAGAGGGATAAGGCTGGAGGTGTGTGGAGAGCTGGGAGACTTCAGCATCCTGTCAGACTCCGGGACCTGCCCCTTGTTTTTAACCCTTCCTACTCCTAAAGGGGGAAACCGACCCTCTTTCCCTGACCAAATCACCTCCCTCCTTGCCCAGGGCTGCTGCTCCCCCATCAGGGAAGGGGCACAGACCTGCCCAAGGGGCAGAGGTGAAGATCCCATCTGCCACCACCCTCTGTCCCTCTGCCTCAGGGAGGGAGAGGAGCCCCCCCTCTCTCCCACAAGGGACTCTCCAGGGCATCTTAACCCCCTCTCCCCAGCCTTCTTCCCCTTTCCTCCCTCCTCTTCATATCATCCAGCACTTCGGCCCCAGTTTCCACACCTTCAAACCTTTTGCATCCCTAAAAACTCCAGGGAGAAGGAGAAAAGAAAGAAAAATCTTGGTTTAGACGAGCTGAGCTGCAAAGCCGGGCTGTGGAGGAACGCAGCAAAGCAGCCTCTCATCCCCAGCCAGCACTGCAGCATCGCTGGCCAAAGGCATCTGTGACATCTCCAGTTAAGCGGGGACTGGAGCAAAGGGGCAGCCGGGGCCTGAAATGCAGGGTTTTAGCCGACAGGCGGCTATGCTGGATTAGCACAGTGCATGCTCCGAATGGAAATCTCTCCCTTTCCCTCGGCAGCATTTTGGGAGTTTGTTTTCCTTCAAGAAACCTTCCCGACACCTCAAATTCACCCAGAGATTTTTTCCCTATTTCTGCAGCTGTTCTCCCTCCAACACTCAGAGATCTCAGCAGCAGAGTCAAAGACTTTGGAGGGAGCCAGGAAGTGTTTGGCAAAAGGAGCCAAAACATAAACCTAATGTTAATACTAACCCTAACACTAAACCTAAAGGTAACCTGAATTGTAATCCTAAACCTAAACCAAAACCTAATCCTAACCCTAAACCTAACCCTAACCCTAATACTAAACCTAAAGGTAATCTGAACTATAATCCTAATCCTAAACCTAAACCAAAACCTAATCCTAACCCTAACCCTAATACTAAACCTAAAGGTAATCTGAACCATAATCCTAACCCTAACCCTAACCCTAACCCTAACCCTAATCCTAATCCTAAAGGTAATCTGAACCGTACTCCTAACCCTAACCCCATTCCCAACCCTAACCCTAACACTAATCCTAACCCTAATCCCAACCCTACCCCTAACCCTAATTTTAACCCTAATCCTAACCCTAATCCCAACCCTAGCCTTAGCCCTAACTCTGTCCTTGCCCCTCTGAGCCCTGTGGGGCAGCTCTGCCTTTCTTTTGGAGTGATGGCAGAAGAGGAGGGCACTCACCTTCCTTGTCCTGTGTTTGGGGAGGTCAGGCAGAGCAAGGTGCAGTTGGCACCTGTGTTGCAGGGCAAGGAAGCCCAAGCAGAAAGACAGCGCCTCAAAAAGTGCTACTGACCAAACTAAACCCATTTTCTGTTACAATGGGGCCTGATGGGAAAGTTATCTTTGTGGGAATGGGGAATTAGCTCCATGAATGGTGGAATATCCTGGGCTGGAAATGACCCACCAGGATCACCAAAGTCTAGATCCTCGCCCAGGACCAGGAATCCTACCCTGGGCCACACAGCACTGTCCAAAGACGCTGACAAATATCACTGCAGACCATTTTTTCCTAGTTCTAAGTAGAGAGATTTGTGAATTCCTAGACCCCCATTCAACAAGAGGGTAAACACAGCTTGCACCTCAAAATCACAGAGGGGCCAGATGTCCCCATTTCTGACCATGTGCCCTCCAGGGAGAACTGAGGGTGAGCTGTGACAGCAAACAGGACGTGAGGACTTGGGGTCTGCAGCTGTCTGAGGTAACCAAGAGCAATAGTTCACCTCTCTCTTCATCTGTGAAGTGATAAAGGTGAAATAACTTCAGAATGGGTCTGTGAAATTCCTTGCAGCAGGATAATTCTGAGGGCAAAGGCGGCCATTGGCAGAGCAAGAGATACTCTCAAAACATCAGATCTCCCCAGAAATCTGAGTTTTGGGGGACACAGACCCTTCCTTCCATCCTGCCAACATAACCCAAACATGGGATATGTGGGGAGAATGGTCTATACTGGTAGCATAACAGATTTAAAGACACCTTTGTGTTTGGGGTTGCCCCTGCTGCTCCCCATGCAGAGACCTTGCAGGGACCACACTGCCCAGTCCTAGGTCAGCACAATTTATGACACAGAAAGCCCTAAAACAGGGATCTCTACCTGTTTTTCTTGAAAATGTACAGAAATAACCAAAATACCTCAGCTCAGCTCAAACTGGCAACCTCTGTCCCATGGTGTGAGGACTCCTGAAGTTACTCAGGTCAGATATGGGTGCCATCAGCACCTTCGAGTGTTATTCCCAGAGGAAAAGAAGCAGACAGGGACAACAAAAACACAGGTCACAAGGCCCAAGATCTTTTGGGACAAAGCATCCCCACACCATCATGGTGGTGCTGATAAGACAAACCCACTTCTAACTCTCCTTGGTGACATGATGGTGGGTTTTGTGACAAACACTGCCTTTGTTGTCCAAAACCACAACCAAGACTGAAGTATCTTTCTCCTCTCTGCTCTGTTTTCTGCCTGGGTTTTGGAGGTGGAAAGGCTGAGCTGGATCCAGATGCAATTCTCCTCTTCCCCCTGTAAAAGGAAAACAGCAAACTCAAGAGAGACAAGCAAAGCTTTACACACACTTTGAATTTAGAGCATGTTTGTTGCACAGAAAACCCCTCTTGCTGTCAGAGGCAAAATGTGTCCAGAGCAAAAAAAGAAAACAAGAAAAGGGATGGGAATATCCATGGTTAACTGCAGCACCCCTGGGAATATGCAAAGAGATTTTGGGAGAAGAATTAAGCTGCACACTTCAGGAGCCTAAGCTGGTCTCAAACTACAAAGTACATGAGGGAGACATGAAAGAGACAGAAAAACATTTTCTATCTGCCCAATTTTTCCACCTTCTTTTGAAGCACGGAATACGGGCAGAAAAAGGCTGTTTGGGCTGGTGGCTGCTCAGAGCTGGTTTAGTTTTGTTAACTCTGTCCTCCCACCTCCCACATTGCAAAGGTAGGCTGGTTGTGCAGTTGGAATAATAGATTTGCCCCAAAAATCTGCTGGAAGCATAATTGCAATGTGGAGAAATGGAATTTGGTTTTTTGGAAGAGTCTCCTCCTGCCAGTGGTACCCCCAGATATCGTAGGTGTAGATGAGGATGGCAAGGAAAGAAAATAAAAAAGGGAATGCCTGGGATTCCCAGGGGATCTGTTTGAAAAGGATAACTGCAAAGCAGGACAGCTTGTAAATAATCAGTTTACTTCCCCTCCAGCAACAGATACCACTGTGTTTACATCTATAACACTTTCATTTTGTCTGGTTAAAAAGTCTCTTTGAACAGTTCAAATTTCGAGCCAGCCACATCCTTCTGCTGAAGGGAGATGTGGGATAACTCAGCTCTGCCCAGGATTTGAAAGGGATTTTTATGCCTGCCTTTCACATGACTGCTGTGCTTTCCACCTCGCTTTTGTTGTTGTAAATTTTTATTATATTTTTAATGACTTTCATTGCTTTTGCCAGCTGTGGTTTCTGCTGGCAGTGGCTGCTCGGGAGTGTTAATGCTCAGGTGTCACAGGTCAAACCCAGCAATCCCAGCCTCTCCTAAGGGCAAGGAGAAAACTCCTGCTCTTCCTCCCATGGCTGAATTTATGGAAGTGTAGTAATTGTCTGTGTTCAAGGAGTGTCTTTGCTCAAACTCTTCCATTTTTTGACAAGGTTCTGAGAGAATTCCCCTAACACAGGAATTTAGCATCATGTACATTTTATAGACTTGTAAAATAAGGCAAGGCAGATGATCCAGCTTTCCCAAGCTGGATCCTAACCCCATCCCTCTTCCCTGACCAGCCTGCTTTGCATGCCAGGGCCAGGAGACAGCTCCATGGAGCTTCAAAAAGGGTCTTAGTGAGGGGAACAAGCACCAGCACAGGGATGGCCACAGCCAGTGATGGTGGAGGGAGCTTGGATGAGTGACTGCTGCTGTGTTGAGGAAGCCAAGCTATTCCCAGAGCCCCAAAGCTCTTGGATGACCAGGGGAGAGGATGGAACCTCCCTCTGAAAGCATTTGTGATGCTGGCTCTGGCAGCAGGAAGGAGTGATGGAGCCCCAAGCCCCAAGATATTCACAGCTCCTCTCTTTTTCCAGAGATTTGAACTGATCCTGAACTTTCCTCTTTCCCCTCTCCCTGCCCAGGAAGGGAAGGAGTGGGGAGCAAATATTAATGAAGTTCTTCTAGTAAAGATCCTGGGACCAGAGGGTGAGAACCAAGAGTAA